GTTCTATAAACAGATTGGTCTGTGTGCGATGTGTGTGTGTATATATATTTATACATTTTCCCTGTTTTATGTGTGTGTAGGATATATAACAGTTAATATAAGTAGAGGGTACATAATGGTTGTATTAGGGGAAAACTATGCCATCAGGGGTTATGGAGACATATGAATCATGAGAGTGGAGGTCAAGTGGTTTCTAAAATTCTCCAGAACCCTAGTACATTTCCCCTAATACCCACTTCACCGATATGCATATATTATAGTACATGATATTTGTAGTCTATGAAGTTAGGGTTAGTATTACGGAAGTGTGGCGGTTAGAGTTAGGGTACTGCAGGTGGTTAAGAGTTAATGCTAGGGTAGTGTAATGGGATTAAGGGTTATTGGTAGGCTAGTTTATGGAGTTAAGGATTAGTGATCGGGTAATGTATTGAGTTAAGGGTTAGTGTTAGGGTAATTTAGGGAGTTAAGGGTCTAGGTGATGTAGTAGGTTAATGTGTTCATGTTAGGGTCACAAAATGGGTTAAGGGTTAGTGTTAGGGTAGTATAGGGGGATTAAGGTTTATTGGTAGGTTAGTGATATGGTAATGTATTGAGTTTAGTGTTAGGATTGTTTAGGGAGTTAAGGATTAAGGTGATGTAGTAGGTTAAAGGTTTGTGTAGGGGATAGGGGTTAGTGTAGGTGGATTAAGGGTTAGTGTTTATGGATTAAGAGTGTGTCCTCTCTTTAAATTTTTCAAAAAGTGGAGATGTCAGTAGAAATTGGCACTTTTGTAAATTAACCTTTGTTACACCTCCCTGCCTGTCAATAAGACAACAGGTTCTGTTACTTCCTAGTTGTTTACCGCAGGTGAGGTAAACTCAAAAGGCAGCAATTTCTCAGAGCACCTCACTTGCAAAGACTTCTCATTGAGCTGCATTGGGAAGTCTGTGATTGGAAAGCCACAGAAAGTCAGGGTGGGGTTAGAAGGGGAGGGCTTGCAAAGGCTGCAGACAAGAGATCGTCAGGGAGGAGCGTGGGCAGAACTGAGTTTGTTTTCCTGGCACTATAGTTTCCCTTTAAATTAGGAGGAGGTAAGGGGAGAACTAAACATTGCCCTAGGCCTAGGGCAGCAAGAATGCTAAATACATTATTACATTCAGATACAAAAAGATAAGTCCTGCGCCCACTCCCATCACTCCTTGGCGGCAGCAACGACCACAGTACACATCAGCCCCAATATATGGTAAAAACCAAAGGAAAAAAATTACCTGTGCTCTCTCCTTAATCCCTATGCATATTTACACAAATGGAGGTCATTTAGTTACTCCAATGGCCAGTGGAGACTCTTTGTCTCATTAGAGATATCTTTGCCAGAAGCTCAAGGAAGCAAGGGGGGGATCTGCCTTGACGTTGGCAGGTGGGCATTCCCTCCATGACCTCCATTTGTCTAAATATGCATAAGGCTTAAGGAGAGAGCGCAGGTAACTTTATTTATTTTATTTTTTTCTTTGGTTTTTATTATTACATTCAGGTTACAAAAATACAGAAGTAGAATACAAATTCACATTTTTTTCTTTTTTTTTTTTCTGAATTTGAATTTTTTTATTGTAGCATATGAGAGTATACAATGGACAAAGCTTAGACGGCTAAATTTTCAGTGCTACACAAGTAAGGCAAATGAACGTCGAAGCTGCTGTCTGAAACCTATAGTGTATAGTTAACAATCCGTCACACATACTATGGTCATTAAGGTACTGAATATTATAATAAAATAAACAGATATGAGATGTGTTCAAAAGATGAGGGTGTGGTGGAGGGGGTCTGAGATGCCCTGGAGTTCATAGATTAAGCTAGCCCATTCTGTGTAAGTATTACTGCCTTCCTGACAGCAGATAAATAAAATTAACTATTTCAAAAAGTGAAAACATATGTATTTATTTATTCTCATTAACTGAAATCCCTGGTGTAACTATAATAACACCAGCTGGAACTAATAAACATGGAGCTGTTACTTAATAGGAGAATAAAAGCTCTGTGTTCAGCTCAAGTGTCCTTTAGGGTCGGATTCAATAATCTTGAGGCCTGGTTGTTTTGGGTAGAAAGGCTGGATCTTCTTAATGATCTACATGTATGAAGATGTGTTGGGCTCTGGCTCAGTTTCTGGCTCCTCTAGGGTAGCCGAATCTGACAGTCCCAGCGAGGTGAGGAACCTCTCTGCATCAGAGATTCTGGTTACATGTAGGCGTTTTCCATCACGTAGAACAGAGAGTTTGCAACCGGGGCCCCAGCGATACAGGATTTCGTCTGCTTAAACTGGATGACATTTCTAATGATAAACTATTAGAAATGTATAATCCGTTTCATCTCAAGAGGATTAACACTATCTGACATTACACTATAGTCCCTAGTAGATGCTTAGTAATTCAAACAAGCCATCCCATTCTGGTGGCTGCACTTGGTGTACCGAAGTACCAACATGATGAATGGGAGTGCCATTTTTTTAAATGGGTTGGTTGTAGACAGTTAATTCAGTTTTATCACCACTCTCCAGTACATTCCTATCCAGGTGTGGTTTAACACCAGTCATAAATGAATTAATAATTAGAATGGTTTGACTTCTTACCTGGGATCCAGTAGGCACTGCTCACTGTTTACACTATGGACACCGGAGACATACAATCTCTTAAACAGGAACTAGTTAGCTCTCCTAAACTAATCCTAGAAGTGGTGGTAGTGCATGTTTAACTCTTTAAGTAGAGCACCAGCAGATGGATTTTAGCCAGTGAGCTTTATCACTGTTTTGGCTTGTAATTTGGTTTCCAATCAAATACACATTCAGTTCTCCATATTGGACATGAATGGCTTAATAATGTTTTCAAAATGTGAACATTGTATAAGGATACAGATGCTTAGGAAAAAAATCCATATACAGTGGATGTGCCAGGGCTGGTGTATTATCCCAGGTGTTAAAGGGATCTAGCTGCTAAGTTGAAAGGCACGTTTTTCTTTTACATAAAAGGGACAGTTTAGGCACCATAACAGCTGAATCTAAGTGAATGGGCAGTCACCAGTTAGCTACGAGTGTCCGCTGACTGCGCTTACACCATGCATGTCAAACTCACGGCTCACAATGAATATTTTTGCGGCCTGGCAAGCAGCGAGTTTGAGACATGCTTACTAAAGCAGAGTAGGCACATTACAGGTGCCTACTCTGCCAAAATTACCCGGCTGGGGAGGAGAGGTCCCTGGTGGTAGCGAGGGAGCTAAGTCTGTTCCTCACTGTGCCCTCTGTAGTGGTGCCAGAATATGACATCATTCCAGCATCATTAAACTGCGCTGAGGGAGCAGGAAAAGGCCCCACACCAGCTCCCAAAGGTAGGGAGCAATAAATAAAATGGGAGTGTGTGAAAGAATTTGTAAATGTCTGAGTATGTGTTGCGGACCTGGAGGCACGGAACGCCATGTCACATTCTAATGTGAGGTCAACGTGCTAAACCTTCAAAAGGTTTTCAATGAGTAGCAGGGGGATCCATTTGGCACAGGATGCAGACGGCGCCATGGGGGGGTATATCAGAGGCTGGACTCCGGAGTCACATGCTGGCAGCGGCAATGTGAGTGGAGTTTGCTTGTTGGCTGGATTTTAGTAGAGGGTGATTTTTTTTTATACGGTACTTTTCAAAACAAACCTACGTTTCTATAAAAAAAAAAAAAAAAAAGTTTGGGGTGTTTTGTGGCCCACAAACTTAAACCTTGTTTATGTGGCCCGTGTTAGCCTTTGAGTTTAACCTGCTTGTCACACAGTCAGTGATACTCCATGTTAACTGAAACTGTGGAAGTTGGATGCCACCTTGCTGGAGTTAAAAATCAGCGCTGAAGTCTCAATTTGGGGTTAAATCGTTTTAACAGCTTGAGGTAGAAGCGCACCTGGGGGCCTCCTGGCACCATGACAACTTCAATTAGAAATCTATGTGTAGCAGTGTATATCTGTACAGTCTGGGTAGCTGTGTGTACCTGTCATTTCAGAGGTGGCCATTCTGGGACCTGCTGTGTGCAAGACTAAGACTTAACAGTGGTGCCACAGATGAGGGGACTTTTAACAGACATATTAGGTGTACCGGTCAGGCATGTATCTGTGCCTACTCTGACTCCTTGGTGTAGGTATGTGCCTAAAAAAAACAAAAAAACAAAAAAAAACAATTACCGCTATGAATTAAGAGACCTCTGCCTTGCAAGTTCTGTAAATGTTGCAGAGTGTCTCCACATAACCATATTAGACATGTGCAATTTGTTTTGTTCCAATGTCAATTCAGACATTCGGATACTACCCAATGTCCGAATAGCTGAATTTCTGAAGTGCCGAAGCACTGATATACCCAGTGGAAGAATGTTACACTGTATACCAGTGTGAAAAAAAAAAGCCAGGATTCAGCTGTAAGCATTTACAACAATCAAGTAACATGTTCATATAAAAAGTAAGTTACTTAGCCAGTCAATGGATGGGAATGAGTAAGTAGATAACCCCCCCTTATTTCCACAGTATTGGGGAGCCATCTACCAAGAGGCTGATGACCTAAATTGGTGTTTCAGTAAAATTTACTTACTAAGTCAAGATTACTTATTAGTAAATTCTGCCCCAACTCGCTATACCGTGAGTAGGGGCATGTCTAGGAAGCAGGAAGCAGCCTGTGGCTGCTCACGGTGTTAAAAAACACACCCCAGCTGTCCTTCCTCCTAAACCCCCCCAATCCATGCAAGTGGGGGCTTTAAACTGATGGGGGACCTATCCCCCCTCAGCCCCCATGCCTGAGCCCTAAATCAAAATGTTAGGCAGAGTAACCCCAAATGTGGCAAGCAGTTATTACATGGATATTCAGTTGTATTTGTTTGGAAAGAGACATTTTAGATTACACATCACTGTGTCTTTATTGGCAGATTTTAGTTAGTTACATATGAAATGCACACAAAACACAAACCATCTATTTTAGAAAAAAAAAAAAAAGTACAAACAGAATTTCAGACACTAGACGTTGAGATGTTCTTTCAGAGCCATGGTAAGGCAGCAAATGAAGATACAGAATTCTTTGAAATCCACTTTGCCATCGCCATCCATATCCAGCTGCCCAAACACTCCCTTCAAGACCTCATCTTTGTTTTGATTACTCTGAAAGAGCAAGAGAAATTCATAAAATAAGTGTTTAATCACCATGCCAAAGCTGCTCTCAAACACCAGAACAGAACTTGCAATTTCACATAAAGAGCAGCTTTTCTCCTAGCTCCCAAATAACATTAAGTGAGAACTTTGATTGCCAGAACAGCGAAAGGAAAATAAACACAAAAGGTTCTAGATCTCTCTCCGGTCAGCCAATGTTTGGCATATAGATCTAAACTGTTAGTGTCAAAAATTGAAAGGAGAGTTACCTTTTTTTAAAGCTATGAAATATGTTGGCGCTATATAAAAACCGCCCAAAAATAAAACTAAGGCTCTTTAAAAAAAAAAAAATTAAATTCTGTAAATATGTACATGTAAAGCTTTATAATAAGATATTGATAAATACTGTACATGCTACTTACACACAGGGCAGGAAACTCCTTTGTTGCCAGCTCAACCAGTTCGGTCTTGCTCAGTGTCTTTGCATCCCCATCTTTTCCTGCATACCTTTGGAAGGTGCTACAGATCTGAACCATGCATGTTTCAAGGTTTCCAGACATTATTCTACGGAGATATAAATCAGTCAGTTACTCTACATACAGTTCTTCCCTCATCCAGCTGACAAATATATCGTTTATTTTAGGGGTGTGGACAGAGGCAGGGCTGTAAAATTTTTAGGTGAATTACTAATTTATGTAAGAACAATGTAACTTATTTACACAAACAAAGACATTTATTGTAGTTTAACCACTTAACGCCTCTACGTCATTCTATGCTGTCCCGCATTAAATGGGCGTTGAAGCCGTTGCGGCGGCATAGAACGCTGTAACAGCTTGCAGCTCCAGGAGCCTGCAACTAACCTCTGCTGCGAATACGAATAACCGCAAATACACACGTATATATTAAAATTCTGTGTATATTCAAGTAATCTTTTAACATAATTATGTGATTTAATTAAAGTTTGATTGACATGCCTGATAGCCCAGCAAGAAAGTGCAGAGAATTTGAATTGCAAGCAAGCACTCTATTTAACCCTGTAACTTTCCAAGACAGGATAAAACCTGTACATGGGGTACGGTTTTACTTGAAAGACTTCGCTGAACACAAATAGTGTTACAACGACAATATGGTCAGTGAAAGTGACATGGTTTGCATTTTTCACACACGATATTGTTGATACATTTTAATGTTTTGAAACACTAATGTGTTCAGCGAAGTCTCCAGAGTATAACAGTACCCCTCATGTACAGGTTTTATGGTGTTTTCAAAAGTTAGAGTCAAATATAAGGCTTGCATTTCATTTTTTTCACATTGAAATTCGCAAGATTGATTCCGTTGCCTTTGAGACAGTATGGTAGCCCAGGAATGAAATTTACCCCCATGATAGCATACCATTTGCAATAGTAGACAACCCAAGGTATTGCAAATTGGGTATGTTCAGTCTTTTTTAGTAGCCACTTAGTCACAAACCCTGGCCAAAATTGGCATTCAGATTAGTTTTTTTGCATTTTTCACACAAATATGAATGCTAACTTTGGCCAGTGTTTGTGACCAAATGGCTACTAAAAAAGACTGGACATACCCCATTTGCAATACCGTGTGTTGTCTATTATTGCAAATGGTATGCTATCATGGGGGTAATTTTCATTCCTGGGCTACCATACGCTCTCAAAAGCAACGTAACTAATCTGGCGAATTTCAATGTGAAAAAACTGAAGAATGTAACACGCTATATTTGACCCTATAACTTCCCAAAACACCATAAAACCTGTACATAGGGGGTACGGTTTTACACGTGAGACTTTGCTGAATACAAATATGTGTATTTTATTGCAGTAAAAGCAAATTGTATTATTACACTCACAGTTAAAATGTCATGTAGAACAAAAAAAAGTTAATTCTTATTTCCCCATTTTTATATTTTATTCATACCTAAATATTTGATGTTAAGTGAAAGTCCTGTTCCCCCTGAATAAACTGATAAATAAGTGTGGGTGCACATAATGTGAAAGAAGCGAATTATGCCTGAACAGACATACCGCAAATTCTAGTTTGTTTTGATCACATGTACCTTTGGCTCAGTCCTTAAGGGGTTGAAAACGCACATCACTGATTATTATTGATGTGAAGCTCTGTTATAAACTGACACCAAAAATATGGATCTTCTAGAAAAGAGGGACATTAGGAGAGAAAAGTGGGATAGAGGGATTTGGGTCCAAAATAGGGACACTTGGGAGGTATGCAAATACAGAGATAATTATAACCCAGATTATTCAAACCAGAGAATACTAAATTGAAAAAAAAAAAAAATCTAGGATGCAACAAGCCAGCAAGGATAACAGTAGAAGTTTTGAGTTTAATAGGTTCTGTATTGGAAGTGTGGTGTGGGTGTGTCAATGGAAAAGTACAGACTGTTCCAAATGCTGCTTGAGCTGAAAGGAAGCTTATTAACCCATGTTTAATGTGCCGCTTATTGTTTCCCTGACATTGTACCAGTGTCTGTGCCAAGTTCAAAGAGGGTGAAAAAAAATTAGCCTCTACAGCCCAGTTCCATGAGACCGTCATTACTCCGCAATGAGAAACTGGAAATTGACCAGAGAATTGCTCATTTTAAGCAAAAAAAAGAAACAAACACTCTGCAAGAATTTTGTGCTGGTCCAAGACTGCCAATTCCCTGCCCGGTGCAGTGAGTAAGCCTGCTGTGTGCACGGCTCTACCCACCCTATTCTGGATACAAGCCATATAAAAATCAGATCTCATACCTCTAAACTGTCCCTATTTAGAGATTAGATCCCAATTTTCTATGTGTCGCTAATCATGTAATGACAACACACACATGCTGGTACAAATTGCTCCTAACTTTTTGGAGGAAGGGGTGGCATTTGCTATGGCGCATCTCTCCCCAGAACGGACAAACAAAATGCAGACCATTAGCTTGTCTACAGTCCATTGAATGTTCATTTCCAGACTCTAAAGGCAAAGCAGACAACTGTACGTCTCCTTTAATCACACTAGCCCACGGGGCACACCTACTTCACCTGCAACAGTCTGCATGTTGAGACTGATCCAGACTACACACCCATTAGAAGCCAGATAGATAAATAGTTAGATATAATTATTCTGCAAGTCTCTGCTACACCCTCATGGTTTCCCCCCCAAATGAAATCTGGGACAAACATGGAACCCCAAGAGGTACATCAGGAAACTCCAGGATATATCAAGGAGCATTGTTACATTGCTAAAATTTAGAGGGTCCCAAAAAGTTTGTATTTTGGCCTGCTCTTCCAATAAATGTGGGTTTCACGATTTCTGCTAATCCAGCCATAGCAATCTATGTAATTCTACTGCACTAGGTAAACAGTCTGTTGAGATGTTTCTCCGACATATTTCCATTTGTAATCCAATTATAAAAATAATAATTGCTCCCCTTTAATAAAAACCATTAACAGTCAGATTTAAATAAAAAAAAAAAAAAGTCATGTGTGCAATACACAGTACAATATATTCTGCTTTGAGACACAATGCAGAGTGCTAGGGATATGGAGACAGTGCCAAGTAAAGGGGTACAGCCAGAATTCCAGTCTCGTGGGATTGTACAGCGATATAAATATAAATAAGATACATAGAACGTCACTTACCAGCCAATGAAGTTAACAGGATACCAATTTCAGAAGATATCAACAAAGTGCTAAGCTCAACTAGTGCTGCACAATATATACAGAGATATGGCCCTACCCCCTATTCCACCCAAAACAGTGCAGATAGAGGGGGGAATGTCTCCTCCTCACTTGTAATTGGCTGCACAGTCTTAGCTTGTTTAATGGGATGTCCCAAACTAACCTGTGACTCATCTTCCATCACCACAGGCATTTAACCTTTTCCTTGCTCCTTGCAGGCAGCTGCTCAAGGGGTGTGTGAATGGGACACAGGATAGATACAGGTAGAAGAGTGTTACAGGGAGAAGAGTTATTTACTAAATTGAGAATTGTCCTGAATTTAAAATGAATTCAAAGTGAATTTCACATATTAGAACGAAATAGCTAATCTGGAAACACAGCTGACTTGGAGAGTGTTTTAAATTAATCTATTATGGCCTTAAATGTGATATTCCAGACAATTCTCATTTTAGAGAATAGCCCTGTTTATGTTATATGCAGAGCCCTGTCTTTGTAATATATATACGCAGTTCACTTGATGCTTGCACTGTATGCAGAGAAATGCGTCTGTGCTAAATGCAGAGTAAATGACTTTTTTGGACTTTTGCAGAATAGTTTTGTACCTGCATTACATGCAGAGCAATTCATGTTGTATGGGGAACTATATCCATGTACTGTATGCAGAGCTATCTGCCTGTATTATGCATGCATACTGAGAGGTCAAGTGGTTTCTAAAATTCTCCAGAACCCTAGTACATTTCCCCTAATACCCACTTCACCAATATATATCTATTATAGTACATAATATTTGTAGTCTATGAAGTTAGGGTTAGTATTACAAAAGTGTAGCGGTTAAGGTTAGGGTACTGCAGGTGGGTAAGGGTTAACGCTATGGTAGTTTAAGGGGATTAAGCGTTATTGGTAGGCTAGTTTATGGAGTTAAGGATTAGTGATCAGGTAATGTATTGAGTTAAGGGTTAGTGTTAGGGTAATTTAGGGAGTTAAGGGTCAAGGTGATGTAGTAGGTTAATGTGTTCATGTTATGGTAACGTAAAGGATTAAGGCAGGGGTTCTCAACGATAGTCCTCAGGACCCCTTACCAGTCCAGGGTTTAGGGATTACCTGGGTGTGTCTAAGGTGTTTAGAAAAAAAAAAACAAACACCTTAGAGTCTAAGGTGTTTTTTTCCCTTTTTCTAAACACCTGAGACACACCCAGGTAATCCCCAAATCCTGGACTGGTAGGGGATCCTGAGGACTGGGTTGAGAACCCCTGGATTAAGGGTTAGTGTTAGGGTAGTATAGGGGGATTAAGGGTTATCGGTAGGTTTGTGTATGAGTTAAGGGTTAGTGTTAGGTTAGTGTATGGGTTAAGGGTTAGTGTTAGGGAAGTGTAGATGGATTAAGGGTTAGTGTTAGGGTAGTGTATGGGTTAAGGGTTAGTGTTAGGTTAGTGCATGGGTTAAGGGTTAGTGATAGGGTAGTGTAAAGGGTTAAGGGGTAGTGTAAAGGGTTAAGGGTTAGTGTTAGGGTAGTAAAGTGGTAAAGGAGAGGAATTTACTGAAAGGGCAGCACTTTTGCTGGCAGAAATACTTTATGGATTAAGAGTGTGTCCTCTGATAAAATTTTTCAAAAAGTGCAGATGTCAGTAGAAATTGGCACTTTTGTAAATTAACCTTTGTTACACCTCTCTGTCTGTCAATAAGACAACAGGTTCTATTACTTCCTGGTTGTTTACCGCAGGTGAGGTAAACTCAAGAGGCAGCAATTTTTCAGAGCACCTCACTTGCAAAGACTTCTCATTGAGCTACATTTGGAAGTCTGTGATTGGACTGCCACAGAAAGTCAGGACGGGGTTAGAAGGGGAGGGCTTGCAAAGGTTGCAGACAAGAGATCGTCAGGAAGGAGCGTGGGCGGAGCTGAGTTTGTTTTCCTGGCACTATAGTTTCCCTTTAAATTAGGAGGAGGTAAGGGGAGAACTAAACAATGCCCTAGGCCTAGGAAAGCAAGAATGCTAAATACATTATTACATTCAGGTTACAAAAACATGGAACTAGAATACAAATTGACATTTTTATTTATTTATTTTTAAATTTGAATTTTTTATTGTAGCATATCAAAGTATACGATGAACAAAGCTTGGATGGCAACATTTTCATTGCAACACAAGTAAGGCAAATGACCGTCAAAGCTGCTGTCTGAAACCTATAGTGTATAGTTAACAATCCGTCACATATACTATGGTCAGCTAGGTGCTGCATGTTATAATAAAATAAACAGATTTGAGCTGTGTTCAAAAGATGTGGGGGGGTTTGAGATGCCCTGGAGTTCATAGATTAAGCTATCCCATTCTCTGTAAGTATTACTGCCTTTCTAACAGCAGATAAATAAAATTAACTGTTTCAAAAAGTGAAAACATATTTATTTATTTATTCTCATTAACTGAAATCCCTGGTGTAACTATAATAACACCAGTTGGAACTAATAAACATGGAGTTGTTGCTAAATAGGAGAATTAAAGTTCAGTGTTCAGCTCAAGTGTCCTTTAGGGTCGGATTCAGTAATCCTGAGGCCAGGTTGTTTTGAGTAGAAAGGCTGGATCTTCTTAATGATCTACATTTGTGAAGATGTGTTGGGCTCTAGATCAATTTCTGGCTCCTCTAGGGTAGCCGAATCTGACAGTCCCAGCGAGGTGAGGAACCTCTCTGCATCAGAGATTCTGGTTACATGTAGGCGTTTTCCGTCACGTAGAACAGAGAGTTTGCAACCTGGGCCCCGCAGATACCGGATTTTGAAATTTCTTAAGTGCTTTTTTACTGGTTTCATTGTGTGCCTCCACAGTACTGTGGATCCAGAAGTGTTGTTGTAGAAAGACAGGTCTGCCCCTTCAAATGTATAAATGCGTGATTCCCTGAGAGTAGCTTGGACTAAATACTTGCATTTTAATGACTAGACGCAGATTAATATGTCTCTGGGGACCCATTCTGATGCACTAGGTGACATGGGAACTCTGAAGTGGTGTTCCAGAAGAATGGGCTTGGATTTTGGAGGAGAGAGTATTGAGGCAAACCACCTCCTCAGAGTAGGGATGTCACAGTCAGTTACTTCCTTGACTGTGCCTCTAATATGTAAATCACGCTGACGCTTTGAGTCTTCTAGGGTTGTCAATCTATCTTCCATTAAGCTGCGTGTCTGCTTAAGCTGGACCACATTTTTATTTTTTAATGATAAACTATTAGAAATGTTTAATCCATTTCATTGAGGATACATCATCTCAAGAAGGATTAACACTGATTATCTGACATTACACTATAGCCCCTAGTAGATGCTTAGTAATTCAAACAAGCCATCCCATTCTGGTGGTTGCACTTGGTGTACTGAAGTACCAACATGATGAATGGGAGTGCCATTTTTTTTAATGGGTTGGTTGTAGACAGTTAATTCAGTTTTATCACCACTCTCCAGTACATTCCCATCCAGGTATGATTTAACACCAGTCATAAATGATTTAATAATGAGAATGGTTTGACTTCTTACCTGTGATCCAGTAGGCACTGCTCACTGTTTACACTATGGACACCGGAGACATACAATTTCTTAAACAAGAATTAGTTAGCTCTCCTGAGCTATGCCCCGCAGTGATGATGGGGCATGTCTAACTCTTTAGCTAGAGCATCAGCGGATGAAATTTATTAACACTGTTGTGGCTTGTAATTTGGTTTAGAATCAAATACTCATTCAGTTCTCCATAACAGACATGAAGGCTTAATAATGTTTTCAAAATGTGAAAATTGTATAGTATACAGGATACAGACGCTTAGAAAAAATCCATGTACAGTGGATGTGCCAGGGCTGGTGTATTATCCTGGGTGTTAAAGGGATCTAGTTGCTAAATTGAAAGACAAGGTTTTTCTTTTACATAGAAGTGACAGTTTAGGCACCATAACAGCTGAATCTAAGTGAATGGGCAGTCACCAGTTGGCTACAAGCATCCGCTGACTGCTCTTACACCAAGCATGTCAAACTCGCGGCAAGCAGTGAGTTTGAGTCATGCTTACTAAAGCAGAGTAGGCACCTGCTCGCCCCACATTGCAGGTTCCTACTCTGCCAAAATTACCCGACTGGGGAGGAGAGGTCCCTGGTGGCAGCAAGGGAGCTCAGTCTTCCTGCTCCTCACTGCTCCCTTGAGCTTGCTCTCTGTAGTGATGCCGGAATATGATGTAATTCCGGCACCCAGCTTCACTAAATTGTGCATGTGAAGGAGCAGGAAGACTGAGCTCCCGAGAGAAGATCAGGGAGAGGCCCCACACTACTCCCAAAGGTAAGGAGTAATAAATAAAACTAGAAAAGCTACAATTTCTGGGGAAATTGTGTGAAGTGTTCTTGCCTCCACCAGTAGTCTACAACTGGAATGGGCAGAGTAACTGGGTGGAGTGGCTTGAGTAACTGTTGTGTGGTTGGAGTGGCTGGAGTAACTGTGGAAAGGTTGGAGTGTGGTTCACTCACTCTACAGCAAGGGCAGAGAAGAGCTTTCAAATCTTACAAATCCCTCGAACATTCCACCAACTGCCAACAGGAACTAATAGATTGTGTGGTTAGAGTGGCTGGAGTAACTGTGGAAAGGTTGGACTGGGCAGAGTAACTGTGTGGAGTGATTGGAGTGAGTAAAGATAGTAAACATTACACTAACCAATTGATTGATCAAATTTAAAAAGTGCACATGGCAAGTTTGAGAAATGCATTTCAACTTTTATTTATTCATATAGCACATTTAATTGCAATGTTGTTGCCCAAAGTCCTTCACAGTTACATTAAAACATACATTTATAAAAACATTAGCAGGTGTACAAAAGGCATCACTTGCTGCTGCAGCCTGGCACAGGTCAGAGTATTTTTTCGGTTGCCATCTTCAAATGGTCGTATTTTAAAAACTATACATCCTACAGTGAAGAGCTTTATATTGTGTGAATCACAAGACCAAGACCTACATTTTTGATGCATAGTATGTCTCTGAAATATTACAAATGAAGGCACAGTCGCAGTTTAGAAATTGCCCTTCTAGTTTGAGCTGTCTAGAGTGGAGTTTCAATGAATGTCAATGGACAGCGTGAGTTGCAAACAAATGGTCATATTGTGAAAACTATCAGGACTATGGCTTAGCCGTGGACATGTGTAGTTGCAGCAGGGATAGTTGAACGTTTTGATATAAGATTTGTGTAGGTGGGCTTGACAATGAGGGAGTAGTGGCAGTTTAGAAATCATGTCCTGATTTTTCAGCTTTTGCCAGCTCCCACTCTAGTTTTGAACATTTTGCCATTCATTCATATGGGACCAATTTCGCCACAAGAACGACGATATGCAAGAACACTTAATGATGTGAGTGTGTGCTGTATCTGTCTGTCAGTGTGTATGTCAGAGAGTGTGTGTGTGTGTGTGTGTGAGAGAGGGTGTGTGTGTGTGTGTCTGTCAGTGAGTGTATGTGTGTGTGTCAGTGTGTGTTGGTCAGTGTTGCGATGGCTGCGGCTGGACAGTGGAGGACCTGGAGGCACACAATGCCATGCCACATTCTGACGTGACGTCAACGTGCTCCACCTTCAAATGTTTTCAATGTGTAGCAGGAAGATCTGTTTGGCACAGGATGCGGACGGCGCCATTGGGGGTATACCAGAGGCTGGACTGAAACCTATAGTATACTATAGTATAGTCGCATAATGGCAGCTGCAATGTGAGTGGAGTCTGCTTGTTGGCTAATATTGCCTTTTTTTGTGTGTTTTTTTATATATACAGGGGGGACTGTGAATTAGTACAGATGGGGGGACTGGGATTTAGTACAGAAGGGGGGACTGGGATTTAGTAAAGGGGGGGGGGCTGGGATTTAGTACAAAGTGGAGGGGGGACAGGGATTTAGTACGAGGGGGACTGGAGTTCAGTAGAGGGTGATGCTGTTTTTTTTTTATACTGTACTTTTCAAAACAAACCTACATTTCGATGAAAATATAAGGTTTTGATTTTTTTGCGGTCCACATGAACTTAAACCTTGTTTATGTGGCCCGTGCTAGCCTTTGACTTTGACATGCTTGTCTTACACAGTCAGTGATACTCCACGTTTTCTGAAACTGGAATTGTAGAAGTTGGATGCCGCATTGCTGGAGTTAAGATCGGCGCTGAAGTCTCAATTTGGGGTTAAACCGTTAGAGAACACCTGAGGTAGAAGCGCACCTGGCACCATGACAACTTCAATTAGAAATCCATATGTGTAGCAGTGTATGTCTGTACAGTCTGGGTAGCTGTGTGTACCAGTCTTTTTAGAGCTGGCCATTCTGGGACCTATCGCGTCAGACTAAGACTGAACATAAGGAGAGGGAGGAGGGAACTTTTAACATGCAGATTAAGTGTACCCATCAGGCATGCACCTGTAGGCAGGAGCCTACTCTGACTTGCAGCCTGACACCCTTGGTGTAGGTATGTGCCCTAAAAATAAATAAATAAAAACTCAATGAAGAAACTGGCCTCTGCCTTGCAAGTTCTGTAAATGTTTGCGAGTGTCTCCACTGGTTCACTACTAAACATAAATATATCTGTATGCAACGGAGAGATAGAGATGGGTCATTTACTAAATTCCCTTTAGCTCCCAATGTCAGGATGTAGGCTAACCCGACCTTGTGCCTCTCCCTCTATAAATACATAAAAACTAGCAATCCACTGGTTTCCATGGAGATTGCATCAGTTATGTGGACTAGCGTCTCACTTTAGTTATCAACACTTATGTAGAACCCCTTTTGTGTTCCATAGCCTTTTCTCCATTGTGGCAAGCAGTTATTACATTGATATTCAGTTGTATTTATTTGGAAAGAGACATTTTAGATTACACATCACTGTGTCTTTATTGGGAGATTTTAGTTAGTTACATATGAAATGCACACACACACCATCTGTTTAAGATACAAGTACAAACAGAATTTCAGGCACTAGCACTTGAGATGTTCTTTCAGAGCCATGGTAAGGCAGCAAAGGAAGACGCAGAATTCTTTGAAATCCACTTTGCCATCGCCATCCATATCCAGCTTCCCGAACACTCCCTTCAAGACTTGATCTTTGTTTTGGTTACTCTGAAAAAGCAAGAGAAATTCATAAAATAAAAATAAATGTGTTTTATCACCACTCCCAAGCTGCTCTCAAGCCCAAGAACAGAACTTGCAATCTCATATAGAGAGGAGCTTCCAGCAGCAGTTCTCCTAGCTCCCAAATAAAACTAAAGGAGAACTTTGATTGCCAGAACAGAGAAAGGAAAATAAACACAAAGGTTCTAGATCTCTCTCCTGTCAGTAAAGGTTTGGCATATAGATCTAAACTGTTAGATTAGACCTCAGTGTCAAAAATTAATTGAAAGGAGAGTAAAAAAAAAAAAGCTACGAAATATGTTGGCGCTATATAAAAATGCCAAAAATAAATAAAAATCTATAAGGCTCTTAAAAGAAACAAAAAAAAACAAGCTTTATAAAGATGTAAAGCTATACAATACAGACATTGATAAATACTGTACATGGTACTTACACACAGGGCAGGAAACTCCTTTGTTGCCAGCTCAACCAGTTCGGTCTTGCTCAGTGTCTTTGCATCCCCATCTTTTCCTGCATACCTTTGGAAGGTGCTGCAGATCTGAGCCATGCATGTTTCAAGGTTTCCAGACATTATTCTACGGAGATAGAAATCAGTCAGTTACTCTACATACAGTTCTTCCCTAATCCAGCCGCCAAATATATCGTTTTTATTTTAGGGGTGTGGACAGAGGCGGGGCTGTAGAATTTTTAGGTGAATTACTAATTTATGTAAGAACAATGTAACTTATTTACAAACATTTCTAAAGACATTTATTGTAGTTTAAACTAAGGACACTTGGGATGTATGCAAATACAGAGATAATTATAACCCAGAATATTCAAACCAGAGAATACTAAATTGAAACAATCTAGGATGTAACAAGCCAGCAAGGATAACAGTAGAGGTTTTGAGTTTAATATGTTCCGTATTGGAAGTGCGGTGTGGGTGTGTCAGTGGAAAAGTACAGACTGTTCCAACTGCTGCTTGAGCTGAAAGGAAGCTTATTAACCCATGTTTAATATGCAGATAATGGTTTCCCTGACATTGTACCAGTTCAAAGAGGGAAAAAAGGAAATGATACGTTTGTTAGCCTATACAGCTCAGTTCCATGAGGCAGTCATTACTCCGCAATGAGAAACTGGAAATTGACCAGAGAATTGCTCATTTGAAGCAAAAACAGAAGCAAACACTCTGCAAGAATTTTGTGCTGGTCTAAGACTGCCAATTCCCTGCCCGGTGTAGTGAGTAAGCCTGTTGTGTGCACGGCTCTACCCACTCTATTCCGGATACAAGCCGTATAAATCAAATAGCATACATTTAAACTGTCCCAATTTACAAGGGACTTTCTCTATTTTGGGCTGAGATCCCTCTTTTCTCTCCTAATGTCCCTCTTTTCTAGGAGCTCCATATTGTTGGTGTGTCTGAGTGTATAACAGAGCTCCACAGCAATAATACTCCCAGAAATGTGTCTTTAAACTATAACACATTTTATAAATAATTATCAGTCTGTGTAAGATATTTTTCTGGTTCTGAGTTACATTTTAATTGTAAGAATTAATAGTAAGTCACCTAAAATTTCTCAAGACACATCCCCATCTGGCAACATCCCCACCCCTAAAAAAAAAAAGTGCTCCTGTGTCTAGGGAATACTATGATGCCCCGCTCTCCCGGTTCCCCAAGACTCAACACGAGGGACAACATGGACCCCCTCTTCTTCCCTCTATGTAAGAGATAGATAAAAGTTAAAACGTGTGTTTTCTTCAGGAGTATTCATGTGCATCTAAGCATTCGTGCCCGTTAGGTCTGTGTGTGGAGTGTTACACATGAATAATGCTGTATACGGTTAGTTATGTTTGTGTTGCTAATCATGTATGCGTCAAAGGAGGTGGCCATGAGACTGATAGCCTCCCTCTCGGGGCAGATCATGCACGGGGCATTGATGGAGTGCTTTGTGAATGGTCCTAGTGTCCAATACTTCCTGCATCTTGCAGAGATACACAGATATATAGACTGTGATAGATACACAGGTAGAGTCAGATAATACACACACCCTGGTGCTGACCAGACATAAATGCTACTGACTTCTTGAGGTAGGGAGGGGTGGCATTTGTAATGGTGTTTCACTCCCCAGATCTTCCACGGATAGACAAATCCAACAGAATTCAGACCATTATCTTGTCTACAAGAAAATACCCATGGTCTGTTTAAACCTTCTAGTCCCAATGGAATGTTCACTAAAATGCTCTAGAGGCAAAGCAGACAGCTGTACATCTTCTTTAATGACACACTAGCCCATGGGGCACACTTTCTTCACCTACAACAGTCTGCATGTGTGGACAGATCCTGTCTACACAAACATTAGAAGCCGGTTATATATAATCATTCTGCAAGTCTCGCTAAACCCTCCTGTGCCTTTTAGTCCCACAATTAAATTTGGGACCCTAGGAGGTACATCAGGAAACTCCAAGATATATTAAAACAAGCAAAGCCTTCTAGCTGTACTAATCTCACACTATTATAATTGGCAACATAAGGCACAGAGAGAGGGTTAAGGGAATGGGTGTAGCATAATATACAAGTTTTTTTACTAAATTGAGAATGGTTGGGAATTCAATGGGAATTAACATTTTCAGCCAAGCTAGCTGCTTTGGAAGAATAGCTGACCAAGATAACGTTTCCATTTCAGCTATTTTGGAATTCTCAATTTATTGAATAACACTGTCAGTGTTAATTGAACCCCATTGAGTTTCCACAGTCATTGTCGTACAGCATTAAGGCTGGGCGTTTTTAGAAGCACCGTGTCTCACAATTCCCTTTAACATGGTTTTCCTATTGGAAAAAGATTATGCAGTTTCCTTTGGCAGATCTCCTTCATTTGCAAAATAAATGCTCTGCAAGGCCTGATCAGCAAATATAATTTATTTCCAAAACTAATCTAAAAAAAAAGTGGTTTGCTTTGCTTCAATAAAACAAACATTAACAGTTGGAGATTTAAAGGAACAGGCTAAGGTTTATGGAGACAGTCTAAAGTTAAGGCACCCTGTTGCATTAAACAGACTGCTGGCAGTGCCCAGCTTATGAGGTACAGTGTACTCTGCTCTGAGACACAATGCAGAGTGCAAGGGATATGGAGACACAGCTCGCCAATCTAATAGGGTGCAGATAGCGTACCCTGCTCTGAGAGGATGCACAGTGCCAGGGATATGGGGACAGTGCCAATCTAATAGGGTGCAGAGAGCGTTCCCTGCTCTGAGGAGATGCAGAGTGCTAGGGATATGGAGACAGTGCCAATCTAATAGGGTGAAGATAGCACACCCTGCTCTGAGAGGATGCAGAGTGCCAGGGATATGGGGACAGTGCTAAGCTAAAGGGGTACAGCCAGAATGCCAGTCTCAAGGGACAGATTCACAGGACGTCACTTACCAGTCAATGAAGTTAACAGGATGCCAATATAAGAAGATATCAACAAAGTGCCAAGCTCAACTAGTGCTGCATAATATATATAGAGATATAGCCCTACCCTATTCAACCCAAAACAGTGCAGATAGAGGGGGGCACATCTCCTCCTGACTTATAATTGGCTGCACAGTCTTAGCTTGTTTAATGGGATGTCCCAAACAGACTGCCAAACTAACCTGTGACTCATCGTCCATCACCACAGGCATTTAACCTTTTCCTTGCAGGCATCTGCTCAAGGGGTGTTTGAATGTGACACAGACTGGGGAGTATTAGCCCCTAATAATCACTTAAACAATAGGCATGATATTTGTAGTCTAAGGTTAGTATTATGGAAGTGTAGTGGTTATGGTAATTGAGAGTTATTGCTAGGTTAGTGTAAGGGTAAAGGGGGATTAGGGTTATTGGTAGGTTAGTGTAGGGCAAGTACGTCAAACTCAAAGGCTAGCAAGGACCAAATAAACAAGCTTTAAGTTTAAGTGCGCCACAAAAACACAAAAATTAAAATTTTCATAGAAACGTAGGTTTATTTTGAAAAGTACAGTATTGTTTTTTTTAAAAAATAACAGCGACCCCCTCTACTTAACCCCCTTGTCTACTAAATCCCAGTCCCCCAGTCTACTAAACCCCTGCCCCTGTTTTCACTCACACTCACTGAGACACACTCACTGACAGACATACACACACTGACATACACACAGAATCACTCCAACACACACATGCACTCACAGACACACACGTTCACTGACTGACAAACAGGCTCCCTCACAGACACACACACTCACTCACAGACACACACAATCACTCAGACACACAGGCTCCCTCACAGACACACACTGACAGAGAGACACACACACAGGCATATATACACACACACAGCCACACAGACAGCCATACACACACAGACAGCCATGCATAAAGACAGCCATATACACACAGACAGCCATACACACACAGACAGCCATGCATAAAGACAGCCATATACACACAGACAGCAATGCAAACAGGCAGCCATACACACACACACACAGCTATACACACAGCAATGCACATACACAGACAGCCATGCACACACACAGACAGCAATACACACACAGAGACAGCCATACACACACACACACAGACAGCCATACACCCACACACACAAACACACATTTCCCCCCCAACACTTTTTAAAAAATATATATTTTTATTTAAATCCACCCAGTCTCCCTTCCTTTGGGAGAGCTGGGTGGATATCTTACCTGGTGTCTAGTGGGGCTGCTGGGCAGGTGTACTTTCAGGCAGGCAGGGGGCGGACAAGCAGAGAGGGAGCATTGATTTCTGAGCTCTCCCTGCTCACCGCAGAGTGATGCCGGGAGCCTGAGTGAAGTCATATTCCGGCTCCCGGCATCACTGCGGGCACTGTGCAGGAAGAGCTCAAACTCAGCCGCGAGCTTGACATCTATGGTGTAGGGGGACTAAGGGTGAGTTTTAGGGTAGTAAAGTGATAAAGGAGAGGATGCTTGCTGAAATGCTTTATGGGTTTCATCTCTCTTCTAATTTTTCAGATTTCAGTAGAAATTGGCACTTTTCCAATTTAAACTTGTTACACCTGCCTGGCTGTCAATCAGACAACTACTTCTGATACTTACTGGTTTGTTAAGCTCAATGGAGTTAAACTAAAGAGGCAGCAATTGCTCAGAGCATCTGCCTTGCAAAGACTGCTAATTGAGCTGCACTGTAAAGTCTGTGATTGGACAGACACAGAAAGTCTGGATGGGGTGATAAGAGGTGGGCTTGTAAAAGCAGCAGGCAAGAGATCTGCAGCTTTTTCAAGCTGTCTTTCGATATATCCTCAATGAAAAAATGCATAATTAAATGCAGGCATGTTTTAATTGGGGGCATATCTACTAAACAGTGATTTGTATTTTATTTGTATTTGGGCAGTGGAGTGTCCCTTTAAACATACATTTAAAAAACAGGAGCATGTTTGTCATAGTTCAGCTCCAGACTGTGCCCCTTAAAACTACACACAGGCGGCTCTTTTCTAGCCTTTTATTAATGGGAATGGTTGCAAATATAATCTTAATGTCGGTGCAGTATGGAGCTCTAAGACATGATCTGCGGGTTGACAGGACTTTGTGTTATACAAGTCACTGCTACAATGTACAGCAAATTATACAGAGAGCAATGAGCAGTATCTATAAATGTACTATGTGTCTAATATACAGAGCAGTGTTATTTTCAAAGGGCAATGGTTTATACAGAATTTTAAGCAGAATGTGCATGGTATATACCAGGGGTAGTCAACCTTTTTCTACCTACCGCCCACTAATTTATCTTTATTGATGGAAACATTTCCTTACTGTCCACCAGAATATTTTTTAGAAAGGAGGGTGTTTTAAAAAAAATAAATGTACGTACATTTATCTTTTTATTTCTACTTAATGCATGTTTTTAATGTTTTTAACTTTATAAAGTTTAATGAGAAAACAATAAAGTAAATTGAAATTACCTTTACTAGTGATTAATGAGATCCTTGAAGCTGGTGCTGCGAGACCAAATATTTGATATCTGGTTCGATTTTCGTAAGGAACAAACAAAGGTCTCCTCTTTCGGTGATATTCAGGCGATTTCTCTGTTTGCTCATAATATGATTTCTCATCCGTGCATCAGCTCCCTTTCTCTCCCTCATCAATTCCCCCCTGGCCCCCCACCTCCCGCCCCCCCTTTTTTTTTACCTTCCTTATAGCAATGCCCAGCAGGAAGGCTGAGCTAGGTAGCCCACTTATTATTATTAGCCAACAAAATTCTCTCCTTTTACTTTTTATATTTTTTATTTTCCTTCTTTCTCCTTTTTTACAAGTACTCTGCTCTTTCTTTACAAATACTCTGCTCCTTCTTTCTCCTATTCTACAAGTACTCTGCTCCTTCTTTCTCCTATTTTCCAAGTACTCCACTCCCTGCTAGCGTGTATCCCCCTACCTACTCCAACTCCCCCCTTCCTCTACCCGCATGTTACACTCGTTCACGAGCGCACGCATTCGTACGTACATACGCCCATACGATATGGGCACACATGCACGTTCAGGCACACACGCTCGCGCTTTCATGCACTCGCATCTGCAACCTCGCACTTCCTGCTTACCACTGAGTGCGCAAGAGATAAATAAAGCGTTCATCTCTCTGGATGGAGCGAGCATTCTGCTACTGCCCACCTGGAATCCCAAAACACCCACTGGTGGGCGGTAGGGACCAGGTTGGCAACCCATGGTATATACAGAGCAACAGAAATATTAGAAAGTAGCAAAATTTGAATTTTCTCCAGCGTATTTGTTGTTAATTGGTTGCCAGATCAACTAATTTCTCTAAGTAGGGAATAATCCCCTAGATTTCTGTCTGCTAGGATCAGGATCGGACCTGTTCATTCATTTTCTGCTCTGTCAGGGTATGTCAGGCTACGGGTTATACGCTGTTCTGCCCAATCCTCTCTATATAGTGGGATAACATAGTGTGATAACCACTTTCAACAGCCAGGGATACATTAGTGTCTGTTTTAGTCAGGGATAGCTACTTTCCCCTATAGGGGGAGGAGGAGGGAAGGCATTTTTGGCACCATAACTATTACAGTGTTAGTGTCTATGGTACTTTGAGTTTTCTCAACAGTAAGTTAGTCAAGTCAATATTGCTGATTATGTACATGGAGGTAGTGGGCTTAATAGTCTGCCTCATAGGGTTAGGAAGCACGGTTTGGTCCCACATAGAGACAGTCCAATGTTGCCCTAGAAAATAACATTTAAACAGTTGTGGGTTCTTCAAATCTGTTGCTAGGGAATTAGTTACTATATGAGAGTTGTCGATTCAGTTACAGTTCGCGGATGAGCCAACGCCCAGCCAGTGACTCACCCCCCAACAATTTAACTCTACACAAACATATACACATAAACATGTATACACATTATTTCACTCACACAGACACACACACCAAACAATGTTTCTGGCCAAAACCCAACTTACTCCTACCCCTTTGGCTTTGTGCTCAGACCAAAAAAAACACCAAAAAAACACCCCATCCCCCTTCCACAATGTGATATGTGGTTTGGCATCTAGGCTCAATGGAATTATGGATGAGAGGGAGTGAAAGAGCAAGTGATCTAATGCTTGTATATGAGAGCAGAATCTGGATATTTGTAGGGCCATGGCTTGGAGGGATTGCAGTGAAATTATAGGGAGGGATACATCTGAGTACAGTTGAAACAGAACAGGCAATAGGCTTCTGTATGCTCTGAACCGAACAGGCAATAGCACGGATGTACCTAGAGCATTTGGCACTCGGGGCTGATCCTGTTTGGCATGCTCCCCTCTCTCTCCCCCATCTCCTCAATGTAAAAAAACAGCAAAATGTTAAAAATGTTTTCCTTTTTTTTTTAAAATGTATTGCACAAACTTGTAAACTTTATTTTAAAAAACCCTGTCTGCCCCCTTCTACAAAACCCCTGTATTGCCCCCTTCTACAAAACCTATGCACCCCCTTTCACAAATCCAGGGCTCAGCCCCACTTATATAAGACCCCTGCCTCAATACAAAAACCCTGCCCCGTCTACGAAATCCATGCACACCCACACACTGTCACGTATTCATCCGCTTATAGAAATGTGGTTAATGACATTTACTGTCCACACAGGAAAAGTTGTGCCGAGCAGCAACCTAATCCACAGAAGGTTTAATGCTGAGCAGTAATTGTGCAAATGAAAACCTGGTGTCATGTATTCATCCGCTTATAGAAAAGTGGTTAATGACATTTACTGTCCACACAGGAAAAGTTGTGCCGAGCAGCAACCTAATCCACAGAAGGGTTAATGCTGAGCAGCAATTATGCAAATGAAACCTGGTAACTGACTTTGGGGTCAAAGGCCGGTTACAGCCTATCAGAACTAAAGGAGGGGTATTTAAGCCCAGTTCTCAGCCTGCTCAGTGCCCTGTCGTGGTTTCCCTTGTGGTTGTCCGAGAGCGCGTTCCTGTTTATAGTTTTCTACCTGGTTTTTGACTTTGGCTTTGTTTATTGACTTCTCTACATTCTGGTATCCTGACTCCTGGCTTTCCTCATCGCTGTGTCCCTTTCTGTGTTCCCTGACCTCGGCTAGTATTTTTGACTATTCTTTGTACGTTAAATCCGGCCATTCTAAGGACCGGTAATATGTTACTTATTTGTCATCCGTGCTGTACAGTTCTACGTGCTGGATCAAACAGTAATCCTGACACACACACAGTTACTGGCAGACAGTCACATACACAGCTACAGGCATGCAGTCCCACACAGTTACAGACAGACAGTCACATGCACACAGTCAAAGACAGACAATCACACATGCAGTCACACACACAGTTACAGGCAGACAGTCACACAAACACAGTCATGCACAAACAGTTACAGGCGGTCACAGACAGTCACGCCCACAGTTACAAGTAGACTGTCACATATACTGTCACAGGCAGACTAACACACACATTCACAGGCAGAATCACACAATCACAGGCAGACAGTCACACACACACATGGTCACATGCAGACAGTCACACATACAGTCACAGGCAGTTACACACACAGTTACAGGCAGACAGTCACATACAGACAATCACATATACAGTTACATGCAGACAGTCACACACACACAGTCACATGCAGACAGTCACACACACACACTCTCTCTCACTTACATACAGAATGGGCTGGAGGAGGAGTGGATTCACTGAAGTCCGTCCATGGAGTCTGCTAGTTGGGGAAGCAGGAACTCCTCCTTGCTTCCTCTTGATGTGCAGCAGTAACACCAGTTGATGGGGCCGTGTTACGTCCCGTCCTCTGCTGACTGTTTGGCCCCACCCCTGCATTTGATTAGCTCCGACCCCAGTTTTCTTATGTGCGGCCGGTTTTGAAGTGGCTGCATTGCTGGTCCCTGCACGTGTGAGTTGTGTCAGCCGCCCGTCACGCCAGCTGCCATGGTTTTTTTTGCAGCCACACAGCTTACACATCTCTGGCACAGGCCAAGGCACCCCCTGTCTAGTGGCACCAGGGGCGGACTGTGCCCCAACCCCCCACCTTAGTACGCCACTGGGCAGTAGGCTTCTGTATGCTCTAAACAGAACAGGCAATAGGGTCCTCTATGGTGTAAAAACAAAACACACAGCAGGTTCCCTTATGGTCTGAAGAGAACAGGCAGTAGATTACTCTATACCTCACAAGTGTCCCTATTTAAGAGAAACAATTCTTATTTTGGGACGAAATCCCTTTGTTTCTATCGTACTGTTGCCTCTTGCATGAGGTCATTTTTGTGTTTTTGGTGTAACAGAATATATATCAGAATTGGGGGGCAGGTGGGGGCCCTAAATAAAAATATCCCCCCCCAGGTGACTAGGGGTCCAGAAACCCCTTAATCCACCAATCAGAGTGTTATTCTAATTTAGGGCCCCATTTTAACCTTTGTGTGTCTTTAACAAGGCCAAAAATTCAAGGGTATGTACACTTTTGATCAAGGCAATTTGGTTGATTTCTGTTATCATTAGGATTTAAAAAGGAGCCAAACAACTATGTGGTAATAAATGGATTCATATGATCACTATCCTTCACTAAAAACATTTTTTCTGCATGATCAATCATATTTTCAAAATCAATGCCTAAATTTCACAATTTCTGCCAGGGAATGCAACCTTTTGAGCACAACTGTATTGAAGTGGTCTGTGTGCAGTATTCCTGTTCCTTTAACCCTGCCAGTGAAGACATTGCAGCTTCAGAGAAACTCTAGTGTTTACATTGCTGGGTTAGGACAGTCTCTTGTGGCTGTCTTCCAGATTGTCACTAGGGGGTGCTTCCTGCATTTTCACAGTTTGATTCAATACTTTCCTATGAAGAAGGTCTAATGTTAGGTTCCTCCATCGGCTTGACAATGCTGGAGAAAGAGATTGCCCCAGCGCAGAGGGACCATGATGTTGGAAAGAGCAAAAGGATTTTAACTCTTTTCTTGTTAATGGGGGACGGGACGTGGACACACTTTTGCCTTAAGAATATAATTTTATATAATTTTATATTCCTAATGCTATAGTGTTCCTTTAAAATATCTTTCTATGTCCATTTGAAATGTTGGTTGGTATGCTACTCTATTGTCTTAATAGAACAAGCAGTAGTCTCCACTATGGTCTAAAATGAATAGTCAACAAACAGCTCCGGGGCCTAAACAGAACAAACATTAGTCTTCTTTATGGTCTTAAACGAAACCGCTATTAGTCTGCTCTCTGATCTAAATGGAACAGACATCAGCAGGACTGGATTTAAATGTCAAGTGCCTGTAGGCACATAATTCTAAGGTGCCCCCTGCTGCAAGCATTTTAACATCTAAAAAAAATATGATCATATTTGGCAACTACATATGTATAAGTGTATGTTTGTGCATATTTCTGCTCTGCTTGGTGTTTTGCTTGAATCTGTGAGTACAAAGCTGTGTAAATGCATGCAGGGTTAAAGAAAACATTAGAAGTGGTTTAGGTTAAAGGAGGGTTTAAGGTTAGAAAGGGGTTAAAGGGACACTGTAGGCACCCAGACCACTTCAGCTAATTGAAGTGGTCTGGGTGCAGTGTCCCTATTGCACTTAGTGCTGCAATGTAATTGCAGCTCTAAGTCTGCCATCAGTGGCTGTCTACCAGACAGCCACTGGGGGCGCTTCTAGAATCTAAATGGACCTTTGGTCCGTTACCTGACGCTGGTCATCCTCACGCTCTGCATGAGGCCCTCCAGCATCAGATTTTCCCTATAGGAAAGCATAAAAAAATGCTATCCTATAGGGAGGTCTAATGCGCGTGCGGCCATTGCCGCGCATACGGATTAGGTCTAACCTGCTGGCTGACGTCAGCGGGGGAGAAGCATGGGTGGAGCCAGACCCAGCATCGAGGGACATCAGCGGTAGCTTTAGGTCAGTGACTGAAGGAGTTTGAAGCCATTAAGCCTCGTGGGAGGTGGGGGCTTATTAAACCTTCAGTGCCAGGAAAATGGCTTTGTTTTTCTGGCACTGTAGGATCCCTTTAACATATGAGTTAGATTTCATAGGGTGCTTAACCCCTTAAG